AGTGAACCCTGGGCTGCAGGACCGTAACGGCAACACCCCGCTGCACTTGGCCTGTGAGCAGCAGTACCTGCAGTGTGCCCAGCAGCTGCTGAAGGGCCCAGCCACACCAGATGACACAACTCAGCCCCGTGGGTACTACCAGGACCTGCAGCTCCAGAACTGGCAAGGTGAGACATGGGGACAGTGCAGTGGCAGAGTTGGTGGCCAGATTAGGGCAAAGACCATGAGATGTGTATGCAGGGATCCAGGAGCACAGCAGAATGGGAATGCGGATGGGATTGGTGTGCCCCAGGGTGGTCTGGGCTGACAGTGACTCTCTCTTCTGCCCCCTCATCACAGGCTTGGCCTGTCTGCACATCAGTACTTTGAAAGGGAACATCCCAATGATGTCTCTGCTGCTGGAGAGCGGCGCCAACATTGATGTTCGGGTAAGACTGGGCATGGTGTGATGTTTTGTAAAGGCTGGGATGGTGGGTCTTTCCTTTTGGCATTCCCTTCAGCCCTGGGGCAGGCACTGCTGTGAGGCTTGAGAGCACTAAATTTTGAGGGAGCAGAGTGTAAAGATCCTTGAGAGGTTGTTGGGTGCTGTGACAGAAATCAGGGTGGGGACTGCCCTCTGCACCCAGTCAAAGGGGTGTGGGTGGGTGCTGCAGGGCCCAGCTGAGGGGGCCCCCCACCCACAGCCTTGTGATCTGTGGGTTGCAGGAGGGCACGAGCGGGAAGACCCCATTGCACCTGGCTGTGGAGTGCCACAACTGTAGGGCTGTCCAGTTTCTGCTGCGCAATGGGGCGTACGTGGATGCCCAGATGTACAACGGGTGCACTCCGCTCCACCTGGCCGTGGGCCGCAAGGATGCTGCCATCGCTGCCATCCTCTCACACTCTGGGGCTGACACCCTGCTGAGGAACATGGAGAATGAGACAGCTCAGGACCTGGCTGATGGCAATGATGATGTGAGTCTCTATGGGGGGAAGCCTGTGGCTCTGCAAGTGTGTCAGGAAGTTCAGGAGTTAGATGATTAGATGGACCCTCCTAGAAGGAGTTTCTAGCTGTTCCTATCCTTCCCGATGTATTGTAAGCATTGGCTCTGTGATGTGTGTGATAACTGCCTTTTGCCTTGAGCCCTAGGAATAGCCTAAATAGGGCTTCTTGGTACTTCCCTGGGGATGTGGGAGGCTGGAGGACTGGGTAGGGGGAAGATTTGGGCCCCTACACTCCCTGGTGGAGACACAACCCTGGTTGCTTACATGTCTATACCCTTGATCTTTGCAGCTCCTTGCCTTGCTGCCCTTCGATGACCTGAAGATCTCAGGGAAGCCTGTTGTGTGCTCTGAATGAGCAGATGGACTCCTTTGGCCCATTGGGCTGCCTCCTTCCTCGGTGCTGCTGCCCTGCTGCCCACTGGATGTCGCCTGTCTGCAGTTCAGTGGGAGCAGAGACACTTTGGGAGACTTATCCCACTGCCCCTCCCCTTTTTGGAAAAGTTTTGTTTGCCTCAGGCTGCCTTCCCAGATGGAAGAAGGTGGCATTATGAGCACTACATAGGGGAGGCTTTTCTTTTAGAATCTGTGTACTGCAGCAGGACTGAATTTCCCCTCCCTGCCATGAGTCTGACTTGTGGGGATCTCCAGCATACACAGGGAAGGAGTGGAAGAGGACTCATTTTCACATTGTAGGCTGGACAGAGCATTGTCTGGCACCCCATCAGAATAAGTGTGGGGTGAGGAGAGTCAACACTCACTCTAATAAATGTTTGTTGTTGCTATGGGCACCAGAGGTCTCATGTGATCTCACCCACCCCACAGTGTCAGGAGGCTGTGGATCACTGGAGGGGCTTGGAGATGTGAGGGCTACAGGGGTTTTTCCAGTCTGCCTGCTCCCTCAGGTCCTTCACACTGCACAAGGTGAGTGGGAGCACAGCGCCTTCCCGACTTGCAGAGCCTTTCTAGTGCTCAAGGCCAAGGCTGCGGATCCTAGTAAGGTGCTCTATTCCCATGCTGTCTTGCCAAACATCTGGCTGTAGGGCTGGAGAAAGAGCATAGGAGATGCGGAAGACCAGGTTGTAGATCCCTGCTTCTGCCATTGTGACTGACACCTTGCTGCTTTACTGTGCTGTGGTTTCCTCTTTCACAGAGGACAGGAAGATCCTGCCCCCTCTCCTGCCTTGGGAGGGGGTTAAAAAGCTTAGGGTATGAGTCTTCCCTGGGTTTTACATCCTCCCAGGCTGAAAGTGGAAGAGGTGGCAGCATTATCTTCCCATCCCTCCTGTTGTTCAGGCTCACCACCCTTCCCTGCCATTTACTTCTCCAGCCAGAGGAGCACATGCAGTGCATTAGGAAATTAGCCAAAGGTGCTGTGGGAATGGAGGCACAGATGTCATACGCCATCTCAGCCAGGAAAATTCCTCACTTGTTGCGTGGGAGCAGCTGCTATTGTTTAGGACAAATACTGGATGGTGCAATCTACCAGGGTGCTCTGGAGTGAGCTCGTCTTCATCCTCCCTTCTTGTAAGGGAATAGTGCCAGGAAAGCAGCATAAGGACACCCCCTCCCCCCGCCCCCCCACCCCCCACCAGGCCTCTGGACTTTGCCTTGTTTCCTCAGCAGTCCCAAGCTGGATTGCTCTGTTTCTTCTAAATCTTTGCCTCACCTTCTGGCAGGGCCTCAACCCTGCTGCAAACCCATGGGGCTGTTTTGAGGACATCTTTCACAGGTGACATGAGGCACTTCCAGGCTGCTCGAAGAAGCAGTGACGTGCTGCATGGCAGCGTGGAATGGTGTGGCCAGGGCTGTAGCTGGGAGCAAAGGGAAAAGGCAGAAACAAGTGATCTGCATGTTTTTGTTTGTTTTGTTACTTTAAAATAAAACTCTTTGTTTTAAAAAGATGTCTTGTAAAATGTCACTGAGTGGCCACATGCTGGCTCCAGCCAGCCCTGCAGCCACGCCTGTGGCTGGGATAGGGGATTCAGGACTGGGGCTGCAGTAGGTGTCATACTGACCTGCAGCCCCTGGGCAGCACCTGCCTCAGGGACCAGCTGTGGCTGTGCTCAGTGCAGGGCTGGCACCTCGGAGGGTTAACCTGAGACAGGGGCCAGGGATGGAGCCAGGAGTTAGCTTTGAAGGCTTTTAGCTTGAATCAAGAATAGTGTGACCATCAGGACTAGGGAAGTCATTGCCCCTCTTCATTTGTGAGGCCTCCCATCGTGTCTTGTGTCCAGTTCTAGGCCCCTCACTTCAAGAGGGTGCTGGAGCACATCTAGAGAAGAGCAACAGAGCTGGTGAAGGAAGGGTTTGGAGCAAAAGCCCTATGACGAGCTGCTCAGGGAGCTGGGAGTATTTAGCCTGGAGAAAAGGAGGCTTAGGGGAGACCTTGTCACTCTTTACACCTCCCTGAAAGGTGGGTGTAGCCAGGTGGGGATCAGCCTTTTTTCCCAGGCAACTAGTTCCAGGACAAGAGGACATAACCTCAAGCTGTGCCAGGAAAGATTTTGGTTGGATGGTAGGAGGAATTTCTCTACAGAAAGGCTGATGAGACAGTTGGAATAGACAGGCCAAGGACGGTGGTGGAGTCACCTTCGCTGGAGGTGTTTAAGGAGAGATCGGTTTCAGTGCTATGGTCTGGTTGAGCCGGTGGTGTTCGGTCATAGGTTGGGCTCGATGACCGCAGGTCTCTTCCAGCCGGATTGGTTCCGTGCTCCGGTGATCACGGCCCCCGCCGCCGCTCTCCCTCCGGGGCGGCGGGGGCGCTGTGGGGCGCGGAGCGCGCCCGCCGGGCGGGGTTCCGCCGCGGCGCCGGGAGCGGAGCTGAGGGGAGCTGGCCAAGCGCGGGCCGGGCCGGTCTGCAGGTGGGTAGCGAGGCCAGAGCGGGCGCGGCGAGCGGCCGGCCCGCGGGCGGCAGCTGCCCTGCTCGCTGAGGGCGGACGAAGGCCGCCCCGCGCTGCCGGCCCGCTCGCTGCGAACGCGGCCGCCGGGCAGGGAGGCGGCGCCGGGGCCGCGCTCGTCCCGCAGCCGGCCGTGCGCTGCTTCTCCCGCGGGGCCGCTGGAGCCTCGGGCACAGAAGCGGCGGAGCGGCAGGCGTAGGGCTCTCCCCGCCGGGAGCCCCGCGCCGTGCCGCGGCCGGCGGGGAGCGGCAGCCCCGCGCCTCTGCTCGTGGCCCCTGGGCAGCGGCAGCGGTCGGCCCGGGGGGACGGTGGCAGGCACCCCCTGCGACCCGGCTGCGTGAAGGGACAGGGAGCAGACACGAGATCCCGAGATGGCAGTATCGACCTTTCAGCTCCGAGCTTGCATTTGGCCTCAGCTCTTCCAGGCGCTGGAGGCGCGCTGGAGAGTATTAGGACTGTAGGCAGGGATGGCAGGGATCTTTTTCAGAGTCGGGACCCAATTGTCCATCCCAGTTCGAGGGCTGGATGCCAGCCCGGCTCTGAAGCGGTGCCTTTGAGAGCTGCCCTTGCAGTGCCCAGGAGAGCAGTGTCTCGACTCCTGGACTGCTTCGTAGACTAAGGCTCCTTTCATGCCTCAGCATGTTGCCGGCTCAGCCCCCCCCCCCCCCCCCCCCCCCCCCCCCCCCCCCCCCCCCCCCCCCCCCCCCCCCCCGCCCCCGCTTTCTACCTGTAATACTGGGGTCCCTGTTCCTTCCCAGCCTCGGCAGAGAGGGCAGGGCTGCTGCACTGAGTCAGCTCTTGGGGCCTGGGAATTGCTAGCGCAGGCATAGAGAACCATTGTCCCTCCATAGCCTCCTCTTCACGGTCGCTGTGGGAGAGCGGAGCTGATTCTCCTCCCATGGTAGTGCTGCAGGAACTGGCGGGGTAACAGCAGGCGCAGTCGTGCTGAACAGAGATTGCAGTCCCTCTCAAGTTGCAAATGTGGCAACAGACCCAGTCATTTATATCTGACTTCTCCAAAAGAGAATGGTATTTCTGCACCCCACTGTCAGCCACAGTTACTTAGTATGGACAAACCCAGGAGCACATGGGCAGCTTCAGCCCCAGGTGCGAGCACCGAGCCCTGTTTGTGCATCCCACAGCACCTGTACAGCTTGTGATGATGCCCCTGCAGCAGGACAGATTGAGTGGAGGTGTCAGACTGTCTTTTCCAGGAGAGGGGGGAGACAGAGGAGTCGGAAGAATGCAAAGAAAGCCACCCCTAGCTATGCGAGTATTGTGCACCTCTCCCTCGTCTGGGAATTTCTACGTCTTTAAAGTCACAGAAGGGAGTTTTCTGGGTGAAACACAACCTCAGCTTTGGTCAGCCCCAGGAACTCCAAGGGCCTAGCCACAGTAGCTGAGAATTAGAAAAGTCCCTGAGGTCTTTCCCAAGGGGACAAGAGGTTGGTGGAAGTGCTTGTTCATGAAATGGCAGGGGACTTTTTTGCCTTTAAAGTCCTTAAGTTTGTAAATCTCTGAGTTTTGTGTGGAGGCTACTAGAGGTCACAGTTATACAACATTGGGGCCAGGTACACTTATAAATAGGGCTTAAATTCCTCAACTCACTTGTTTCAGGGGGAGGAGGAATTAACATCTTTCAGTCACAGGAGCTTTTCTGGTACATGTTTATGTAGCCAGCCCACAGCACTCTCACCCAAGGCAAGTGGGAGGCTTTTTCAGCTGAGGGATGTAGCATGGACCAGGGAAACCTTCTACCCTGATGCAGGAAGCTGTAGCTTGCTTTGTGAGGGGAGGATACAGGCGGCCTTGGGTGTAGGAAGTTCTTGCCTGGTTTCTCATTCTGTTGAGTACTGTGAATATTGCAGGTTTGCCTCTGTGACAGAGAGGACTGTGAAGGGAAGAATTCCTTCATGAACTTTTAAAGCTGGTTAGATCGCTTCCTACCGCTACAGCTGAAGAATATCACCTATACTTCATTGCATAGTCCTGGTAAAATCCCAACCAGACAGTTGGTAGGAAAGTTCCTTTCCAGCCTTGCTTTCTCACTGTATTTTGCCAAGCTGGTGAACCCTGGTAATTTCCTCTGATCTGTGAGGAATGCCTTGGCACACTTCCAGGGCTGCATGGGAAGGTGGGTGAGGCTGGCAGCCCTAAACCCTGCCTCTCCTCCACTCATCTAGTGTAGCTGGAGGGGAAAGCTCTGAACTGTTTGCTTCCAGAGGTAGGTTGCTCATTGCCACAGGCTTGAAACATGAGCTTCTAAGTAGGAGTCAGTTCTGTTCAGTGACCTTTTCCTTTTCCACCCAAAAGCTGTGCTAAAGTTTAACTTTAAAAGGTGAGGTGTGAGGTGCTTCTTGTATTTGGAGTAAGAATGTAATCAAAACCAGATGGTTACATCAGTGTTCTCTCTAATCCTGGGAATCCAAAGTTGTAAGTCCACATGTTCCAGAGCAACCACCTTTAACAGAAGCAAATATAGATGTCTGGCCTGTGCTTTTCAGCTCCAGAGGACTCTTCCTACTCTGTGTGCTGCCAGTATCACTGTTCTTGCTGCAGTGGGGTCTAGGTGGCCATGTTACAGGTGATGAGGATCAGGCTGGAGGGTGGGTATTACAGGCATGTGGAGTGCCGATGTACCAGTAGCCCACCACCTGCCTCTTTCTCTCTCCACAGATTTTACATTCCCCTCCTGCTGGCTTCTCTCCCTACCATGGCTACAGGTGAAGAGATCGCCCCTGCCCTGCAGGACTCCTGGGGGGACTTCTGGCTCTTCCGTTTCTTTGTTAATGCTGCTGGCTATGCAAGTATTGTGGTACCAGGCTTCCTTCTCATCCAGTACTTCAAGAGAAGGAACTACTTGGAGACAGGTAGGAGCGGGAGCTTCCCTTCTTCAACCTGCATTGTCATGTCTGAGCCACTCACAGATCTGTGTCCCAGTGCTTTCCAGCTGCTATCCTGAAACAAATTTCTCTGAGGCCCCCATGCTAGCAGATCTGGAGGCTAGTGAGGAGGGAGGTTTCACCTCTCAAGCTGGTGCAGCATGTGGTGCCCAGGCTTTGGGTAACTGTGTCTCCATCTTTTCTTACCCTGTTCAGGCAGAGGCATTTGCTTCCCTGTCATCAAATCATGTGTGTTTGGCTCTGAGGTGAAGTCTGTACATCAGGACGATGGCTCCCTGCCACCCCGAGCAGAGCCCACAGAGTCCTCCACAGCCCGACAGGTCTTCAAGCTGCTCTTCTGTGCTGCTGGTCTACAGGTAGGGGTCCTGTGCATGTCTGGCTGTTCCGTTCTGGAAGGAGGAAGTGGCCAGTAGGTTAGTGACTGTCAGATCCTTGGAAGACCAAGCATGCAGTGCTGTTCTTGATCAAGGCAGGGATGGAGGCTGGGACAGTCCACCTCCAAGAGCTGTGGAGGTCCATTTTGCTTTTGTCATTTGGGTTGGAGGATCCTGTCTGTCTGATCAGCCTCTAGAGCTTCTGAAAATTCTGTGATTCAGCAGATTGTTAAGGCTGCTTTTGTTCTGGCTCTGATGTCAGATCAGCAGATATTTTGAACCCTCTTTTATCCCAGGCTCTCCCATGGGTCACTGTCTGGGGCTGATGCATTCTGCCTTGATGGATTGAATTTGAGTACTGGAGAGAAAATACTTAATTCACCTACAGATAAACAGGGATTTAAAATCCTAGATTCCCCAATTCTCAGCTACAGCCTGAGCATCATTAGGAATGGCAACTTTTTTGATCTATGAGGACAAAAAATAGCAATGTGAGCACCGAGATAGAAAAACCCAGGTATCCTGCAGCCAGGAAACAACTCACTCTCTGGCTTACTCCCCCAGCCTATTCAGACATGCTGTGGGCCACTAAATTATTCCATCTCTCTGTGTCTTACTTTCTTGGGGGATGTGTGATGAGAGGAAGTTATTTCTGTGAGGCACTTGGTGTTGTTGCACCAAAAGTAGTGGACATGACAACCAGAACAGTGATCATCCCTCGTGGACAATTTTGTCTGCTGGTTTTGAAACTAGAATTGATTTGGATGCAAAAACCAGGCCTAGGGAGCTGGAAGTGAAAACCAGTGCAGTGGCCACTGGGAAAACTGCCAGGACCTGCCGCAGGGAGCTAGCAACAAAACCACGGCTGTGTATCAGTAATGTTCCCTGATTCAGTCAGTCTGGTTCCACAGCCTTAAAGTAGCTCAAAGCATAACTGCTCGCTCTCACCAGGATGTTTACATTGTGGGCTTTTCTCCCCGGTCCGCTGAGCAGGTGTGCTTTGGAATAGGATGTTCCTGGTTGTAACCACATGGATCAGCGCATTCCCCCAGATGGGTGGAGTGGAGGGTGGTCCCATCTCCCAGTGTCTTAGGGAAGCATTGCCATGTAGAGGATGAGCAACACTGGGGAGACCAAGGTTCTCCTGGGGTCTGTTCTGCCTGTTGTTACTGGCAATTGCTGTTATAGGTCCTAACTTCTCCCTGTGCTCCTGCTGCTTTGCAGGCTTCCTACCTCACATGGGGTGTCCTCCAGGAGCGTGTGATGACAAGAACATACGGTGCCACTGAAGCAGACCCTGGAGAGAAGTTCAAGGACTCCCAGTTCCTCGTGTTCATGAACCGCATCCTGGCCTTCACTGTGGCTGGTCTGTACTGTGCCCTGACCAAGCAGCCACGCCATGGGGCTCCTATGTACAAATACTCCTTTGCCTCCCTCTCCAACATCCTCAGCAGCTGGTGTCAGTATGAGGCACTCAAATACATCAGTTTCCCCACCCAAGTGCTGGCCAAGGCCTCCAAAGTGATCCCAGTGATGATGATGGGCAAACTGGTGTCGCGCAAAAGTTATGAGTACTGGGAGTACCTGACTGCTGCCCTTATCTCCGTGGGGGTCAGCATGTTCCTGCTCTCCAGCGCTCCTAACAGGACGGTGTCCACTGTCACCACCTTCTCTGGCATAGTGCTCCTGGCTGGCTACATAATCTTTGACAGCTTCACCTCCAACTGGCAGGATGCTCTCTTCACCTACAAGATGTCTCCCGTGCAGATGATGTTTGGTGTCAATGTCTTCTCCTGCCTTTTCACAGTGGGCTCGCTCGTGGAGCAGGGTGCCTTGCTAGAGTCGCTGCGCTTCATGGCCCGCCACTCGGAGTTCACCGCCCATGCCGTGCTGCTCTCCGTGTGCTCTGCCTGTGGCCAGCTCTTCATCTTCTACACCATCAACCAGTTTGGGGCAGCTGTCTTCACCATCATCATGACACTCCGACAGGCCTTTGCCATTCTCCTCTCCTGCCTCATCTATGGCCACACTGTCACTGTTGTGGGTGGGCTGGGCATTGCCGTTGTCTTCATGGCCCTCTTTCTCCGTGTCTATGCCCGCAGCCGCATGAAGAAGCACAGTAAGAAGCTCCCACTGGGCGAGACCCCTGTTCAAAAGGTCTAAGGAAGCTGAGGCCATGGCATTTAAGCCATGCCCACTGTCCTGCCTCCACTTGAGGGTATTTGCTGGATTTCTCAGAACCAACTGAGAAGAGTGGGATATGGATAGACAGGACCAGTGACTCAGTTTTCCATCTACTTTTCTTGGGAAAGGGGCTGGAACAAGCCCCGGAAATGCTCTGGGCTGACGCAGCTCCAAACCTTTCTATTTGCCTTAATGGGTCAAAGACTTACAGCCAAGGCACAGGCCTGGGGAAACACCAGCATGGGGCTGCTGGTATTCCTGCCCCACCTCTGGTTTGTGGCTTCTCTCCAAGGTCACTGAAGAAAAAGGGAACACTTCCTTGGCACTCTCTTGCCTCTGGCTAATGCTCCTCCATTTCTGTTAGTACTACAGAGCATGCCAAGAGGAAAGGGCAAGCAAAACACTAGGTTTTTTTTTGAAACACCTCTGAGTGAGACAAGTTCCAAGCTGAGGCCGTTGAAGGGTAGGGACTGCTTTTTCTCCATTTCAGGAGGGGCTCTGGGTCAGGCAGAGGTGATTACAGGCACAGCCAGGAGAAGGATACCCAGCCTGTCCTACCCCAGGCCTGGGATCTCTGGGAGGGCACTGCAGTGAAAGCCAGTACCTCCCAGTTTGGTTTTACAGATTCTTTACACCTGCTCCAGGACACTTTCTTTGCCCCCCTCAGCCCAGGCTGATTTTTATGCAGTACTTGAGCTGGGCAGTTCCCAAGGCTTGCTGAGTCCTTCAAGGTTAATTTTGGTTACATCTGCTGCTGTTACAGGCCAAAGCCTGCGCTGCCCAGAAGCCCCAGCACCACCTCGGGGTCCCTCAGTGCCATGGGTTCTGGGCTTTGCAGTTGCCATTCAGACAAGCACAAACAACTCCTCTTTTTCCTGCCACCTAGAGGCACTGGCCCTGGTTTTCCCAGGGGCTGGCCAGAGTCTGTGCCTGGAGGGTTGGGACATGGGGCAGAGCCCGCTTGCGGTGCCTTGTTCCTGCTCCACAGACAGCAGGGGATGGAGCAGTGAAAGCTGTTCTTCCCCAGAAGCCTGGCTTTTATTGGTCAATCCTTTTCTCGTCAACACAACCTGACTGACAAACAAGCAGGTTTTGGTACTTTTGCAAGGCATTTTTTTTCTCTTTTTATTTTATTAAATTAAAAATATGCTGCATATAGTGCAATGGGTAGAAATGTGGGTTTGGTTTTATGTTTTTGTGTTATTGTTTGGTTTTTGTTTGTTTGTGTTTGTTTTTGTTTTGTTTTGCTTTGTTGGTTGGGTGTTTTTTTCCATGTACCTGGAAGGTGGGAAGAGATTTCCAACTCTTCCTGTGTCCCTGGTCTCTCTGGGACATCAAAGTTATCTTTCCAAATACAGGTGCCTCTCTCTGTCTTTGCCAAGGCTGGTATCTACCAGGGTTGCACTCAAAAGCTACAAGGCCTGAGAGGAGATCCTTGCACACACAGCTGGGGAGCACAGCCAGGTTTGGAATGCTGCTTACGCTGGTGGGCAGGTGAAGGAGCCATTAGCCTGAGCCTAGTTTGGCTCCTAAGTTCTCTGCATGGTGTAGCTTAAGGAATTCCCAGTGGGTGTAGCTACCAAGAAGTGATACAGAGGCCTGCTGAGCACCTGCCAGCCAGGGCCACCGGTGCTATAGCACTTTGTGGGGCATACTGCAGCAGCCAGAGCCAGGAGAGGCTTGAGGGGTGGATGGTATACATCCACCCCTCATATCATACATCCTGGTATGTGCGGGAGGCCTGGTGAAAATCCAGGCAAGAGTGAGTCTGAGGTCAGAGACAGGACTGGGACCTAACACAGCTAGGGAAAGGGGACACTCGGGTGAGGGTCACAAGAAGAACAGAGGAGGAGACTAGGGACAGTGGTGACTTAGCTGAGCCTGGAGGAATATCAGAGCTGGTGCTGAGCACAGCCCAGGCTTCAGAGCATTTGGCTTCCCAGCAGTTTTACCAGGGCTCCTTTTCTATCTCTGAGAGTTTGGAGGTGCCTGTGCAACCTCACAGCTTTTCATCTTGCCCTACAAATTTGCCCAAATGTCTGCACTCAACATCGCTGACAGACTGAAAATGGAATGTGATTTCCTTTGATTAAAAACAAAACAACAAAAATCCACATTTCCAGTTTAGGAATGGAATACAGTAGGATAACTTTTCTAATTTAAATGTAGATTTAAACAAAACATTAGTGGAAAAAGAAAACCCAGGACATTAACTTAAAAGGTTAATTTTTATTGATTCACTATTTGGCAACACTTACCTATTGAGAGGGAAATCCTACTTTTAAACAATTTGCTAGCTCAGCTGCACCACTGCCCCAGCAGGCTCTACCTCTCTGTTAAAGATGGATACTGGCTAGAGTCCATTCTGTTTTGTGCCTGTGGCAGTTGGCATGTGGGCAGCAAGAGAACTTAATGCTGGTGTCACTTTTCTCTGACAAACCTGAAGGGCCATTGTGGCCAAGGGTGACAAACCTCAGAGTGAGCTCAGTGCAAGGGGCAGTTCAGTCAGAGGTGATGTCCCGCTTCACATCTAGGACACAGATGGAAAGAAGCCAGATACTGCTCAACATCCAATGGCTGCAGAAAGACAGAAAGGGCAGGCTGGAGGTGGGAGGAAAGGAGTTGAGTCTTTGGCCCAAAAACTGAAGAGAAGCAGGTTGACTGCAGTCGTAAACTGTCGCTCCACACTGCAGTGGAACAAAGCAGATGGCTCCTGCCACTGTTGTGCCCCAGAGGTGCTCAGATCTAACCAGCCAGCAGCAGCTCAGGCCCTGGCACAGCTCACCCAGCTGACCCACACAGATTGGAAATTTGCTCCCAGGCTGGGGAGCATGCAGCTCTCCAGGTGGAGAATGACTGCTCATTGGAGATGACTCCACCTGCACAGCAAGTCATGTGTTCCTTCCACCCACTTCATCTTGCCAAGGCATGGAAGAGATAAAGATCTCCTAAAGCAGGGCTCAGAAAAGCAGTCAAGGCACAGGGGACACCTACACAGCAGAGTCCAGTGCCCTCAGGCGCAGGCTGAGACATTTTCCTCAGAAGAGCAGGCATGGAACACAAGGGACCCCACCATGTAAATCATCAATTCTTTAATTCCAGTACAACAAACCCCAGAAAAATAATCAAACAAAACCCAACCAAAAATACATTATACTATCCTGGGGCTTCAGGGAGGCAGCAGTTTGGAGGAAGGGCTCTCTCACCCCAATGGAGTAAGGATCGTTTTTGATGCCTACTGGTAATGTGGGACACTCCATGAGGGGGAGAGAGGGGAAGCCTGATGCCTTCTCACACCTCCACTCCCCATCAGCTGTTCCTACAGCAGTAAGCAGTAAGACACAGAAGAGATGGGCCTCAGGCTACCTGAATCACTACTAACAAATAGGGCATCATGCCCTCCTGCACCTGCCAAAAACAACCCCAACCAAACTGAGCCAAAAGAATAGACACCACCAAGAAGTCAGTAGCAGCTGGTGGGAGCAGACCATCTTCTAAGCAAACATGACAGAGCAGAGGTCTAGCAGGTGAAGGAAGAACCTTCCTCCTTTAGTCTACCTCTGCCATGCAGGATGTATCTTCATCTCCCTCCAGAGGGGGGATTTCCTCAAGAACAGCTGCACTGGGCTCCTCTGCAGCCACCTCATCTTCATCTATGCCTGGGAGAGGGGAGAAAAGGAAGAGATAAGGCCTCCAAATGACACCTAATCCCAGATGCACAGCCTCTCCCAGAGTAAACCTGGCTCCTGGCTCCTTGCCCCCAGCCTGAGGAATCGGGCTATTAGTATCCAATAGTTCACAGGATCATAGAATATTCTGATATGGAAGGGACCCACAAAGATCACTGAAGTCCTACTCCTGGCTCTACTACACAGGACAGCCCCAAGAATCACACTATGTGCTTCAGAGTGTTGTCGAAGCACTTCTTGAATGCTGGCAGGCTTGGCGCTGTGACCACTTCCCTGGGGAGTCTGTTCCTTGGCCAACCACTCTCTGGGTAAGAAACCTTTAACTAATATCCAACCTAAACCTCTCCTGACAAAGCTTCATGACATTCCCTCAGGTCCTGTCACTGGTCATCACAGAGAAGACACCAATGCAGGCCCCTCTGCTTCCCCTGGTGAGGAAGCTGTACAATGCAATGAGGTCATCCCTCAGTCTCCTTTCCTCCAGGCTAAAAACTAATAATTGCAAGTCAACATTGCTACAAGTTATAGTCAGCTCCAGCACTAATCCTGAAGCAGTACATCTTCCCAGTAACATCTACACTAGTATATGGATACTACCTATGCCATTAGAGTGCGCTCCTTAACCAATTTATATTAACTACAAAAGATTTGTCACCCAGCACCACAAAACCTGGAGTTTAAGCCAGGAGGATGTGGTTTGAACAGCATGAACATTTCTCTTGAGAAAAATGCAGTAAATCCAGTCAAGTCACAACTAAAGCAGTTGCAAGACTCTAGCTCATCAGTTTCCAACCCTGCAGGTTGCTGTTTCAGTGTAACTCTGAACAGAAAATTGTACTACCATACAGTCCCCTTACCTGCAATTTGACTAACAGAACATCCTACTCCTACTGAGAGGAGTAGAGGCAGCACAGAGTTACTAACTTAGTTGTGCCAAGCCGCAGCACCTTCCGATTTACATTTTTAGTTAAACAGTGAATTTGGAGGAAGAGGCCATGTGTAAGCACAAGCTGTTTCTCCAGATGGGTCACATAACCCATGACAGACTTTCACATTTACTCTGAAGGAATAAAAAGCCTCTGCTTGTCATCTGAACATCCTGGTGGTGACTCCTGGTCACCACCCAGAGTCCTGAGCCCTCCTGAAGTACCTTGTTCCAGGTTTACACTTTCTCTTGGTCACCCTATGTACAGAGCCACTTCACAGTACATCATAGCAGCCATGGCTCCCTTACTGGCCTCCCCCTGCCTCAAGACACTAGGCCTGACCAGTTAACCTGCTTTCAGACCTGCTTCAGGCTTGAGAAGTTGCATGGATGCTCACCAAGCCCGAGTTTGATCATCCTGTAGGTGCGGTTGGAGTGGGTCTGGGGATCTTCCAGGGAGAAACCAGAGGACAGCAGAGCAGTCTCAAAGAGTAGCACCACCAGATCTTCAACAGCTTTATCATTCTTGTCAGCATCAGCCTTCTGGCGAAGGGTTTCTACAATTGGGTGGTCAGGGCTGATCTTCAGGTGCTTCTTGGCCATCATATAGCCCATGGTAGAGCTGTCCCGCAGTGCCTGAGCCTTCATGATGTGCTCCATGTTGGCTGTCCAACCATAGGTGCTGGTGACGATGCAGCAGGGAGACGAGACCAACTGGTTTGAGATTGTGACCTGCCAACATAGCCAAGGGTTAGCTGAGCAAGGCCCCCATAAGCCCTGGACTAGGCCCAGCCACAGCATACTACAGCCCAAGTCTTTGACCCTGGTTCACCTGGGGACACCCCAAAGCAAGCAGAGATGCTCCAAGCAGCTCCAGGACTGCTGCAGACTAATTTGTACAGCTCAGCCAGCACTTAAGAGCACCCACTCCATGTTTGCCACACTTAACCTCTCTCATCAATGCATGTATTTGGGTCAGTGCCCCTTACTTGCAGCCTGGCTGCTTAGAGCAAGATGGTGCATGCTGGGCCCTCCAGTCTCCTTTAGCAGCTCCTCTGCAGGAGATGAGAGGCATGCATTGAGCAGGAGCTCTCACCTGCAGCAAAGAGGACCCAGCTCTCCTCTCTCCAGCACAGGGCTAAGCTCCCTGCCCACCTCACCTTCTCCACCTTCTCGTCCAGGATTTCCTTCGTAAGTTTGCAGAGGTTCTCAAACTTGGCCTTGCTCTCCTCCATCTTTTTTTTCACTTCCTCATCCTCAGGCAGCTTCAGCCCCTCTTTGGTGACTGATACCAGGGTCTTGCCATCAAACTCCTTGAGCTGTTGCACGCAATACTCATCGATGGGCTCTGTCATGTACATCACCTCAAAGCCACGCTTCCGTGCACACTCCACAAAGGCTGAGTTAGCAACCTGCTCCTTATTCTCCCCTGTGTTTGTGGAAGGTAGAAATGAAACATCACCAAGATGTAAGAGCTGGTTACAGCAGGACAAACACCATCAGTCACTTGGGACCCCTAACATAAAACTGGCAGAGCAGCCAGGGTTCTAGGCCTGGTGGCCTTTCCCCAGCACCCAGGAATGAGCTGTAATTCAGCAGGGATGACCTGCTGTAGGCAGCAGGAAATGTTTTAAATTATGGTTCATATGCAGGTTACCTGCCTCCACCTTGCTAGGCTCAGAGGAGCTCTGGCTCACCTGTGATGTAGATACTCTTCTGGTTCTCCTTCATATGGGACATGTATTCAGAAAGCAAAGTC